CAGCAGGACACATCCTGAAACACTGTTTGGGTGAGATGGCACCAAAAGTTGCTTTGGCAATATCTCTGTCACGCAACGTTTCCCTACAACTATCAAGATACACTTGGGCTCCGTGAGCATTAAGTCCACTAGTGCTTGTGAAGCTCCAAAATCAGCTGGGGTCCTGCTGGGGTGCTAAAAGCCACCACTTCTCCAGATTCCACAGCTGTCTTCGTGGGCCAGTGCTTCTCTGGGGACAATGGGAACGAGGTCCTGCAGACCTCTTGGCTGCTGCGGGAGAAGGTCGACTCCCTGCCCAGTGACTGGAAAGCCACCAGGTGAGCCAAAGGACACCCAGCCCATCTGGGATCCCTGCCCCTCTGCTGGCTGGGCACCAATGGGCTACTGGTTCCTCACAGGACCGGCCACAACACCTTCATTCGGACAGGCTGAAAGAAGGGAGAAGTCTCACTCTCACCAGGCTTGGCAGACCAGGAGCCCCTCAGCAGGATCAGCATCCCCCAATGTTGTCAGCTCTGGAGAAAAATGTTTCAAAAGTACCATATAACATTAAAGATTTTTCATTTAAACCAAACCTTGTGTAGTTTGTGGATATGTCCCGGGAAAACTGGGCTAAAACGCTGTGGTGGGTGCAAGATGAAACTCTTTTTGTCCTATTCTGGGAAGAGACTGGCCCCTAGAAATCCCCTTTTCCAGCCCAAACAGGATGGTGCATCCCCAAAGTGACCCTCTGACACTAAGTGTGACCAGCACTCGCTCTTTTCTGCTCAAAGCCTCATGAGTGTAATGGGAGAGTAGGCTGGGGAGCACTTCTGCACCCCAAAGATATGTCTGGGAGACCCCTGGGCCTGAGACAGCCCTCGAGCAGGCAGGTGAGGGTTCTTGGCAGTGTCTATACTCCTGGACAGTGTCAAGGACTGCTCTGTACCAGCATCACAGTGCCAGTAGCTTTAGTACATCCTGTCCTAAAACTCTTCCTAGGGAAATGTGTGATTTACTGGAAATCAGATGACTTACAAATCCAGCCCCAAATCTCTGCCTGATGGACTATGTGACTTACCAAAATGGGCAGTGCATGCCAGGTAGATTTACTGGAAATCAGATGACTTACAAATCCAGCCCCAAATCTCTGCCTGATGGACTATGTGACTTACCAAAATGGGCAGTGCATGCCAGGGCTGCCTGACACACCCCCTTCAGCCAAAAAAATTATTTCCACGAAACAGCTCTGGATCTGAAACTGAAACTTAGTCCTTGTGTTGTGGATTCTCAAAATAACCTGGAACAGTGATGCAAGCCCTGAGCTGGCATACTGCCTGGGATTTGAGGAGCCTAAGGATAGGACTGAGCTGCTGGGGCTGCTACCGCCCACTGCTCCCCTGGCTTTCCTGCCACAAATGCTGTGGGAAAGCTTTGCTAACAGCATCTGTGGCTTTAGCAAGTTTGCCACCTGCTCTGTGCTTTAGCCTGCCTTGTTGCAGGCTTGCATGTGGTTTGCTTCTCACATCTTTCCCCTTGGGGTTCATCTTCTGCTTCTAGAGCGATGTTGCTGTTCCCTTCTCAGTGCTTCGCTGGCATTTCTCCAGCTTTTTCAGTTCCCTTACAGCCTTTCTGACCAGAACAACTTTATACCAGCCCTCTGCTATGCATGTATGTATGTGCACAGCTTTTTACTTGCTTTAGAGGAAAATGAGAGCTAGGAAAGTGGGAGGCACAGGGACCATGAGACTCTGCTCTCCCCCCAAAGGACCAGCTCTCTCTCTCTCCCCCCCCCAGGGCCAGCTCCGTTAAGCCTGCATCCACCTGACTTTGTTACTGCTTTTATATCAATATTTCCCCAGGGCAAGACTGCCCAGAGGTTGTGCAGCATTCCTGGGGTGCTCCAGCAAGGCAGCAGTGCTGACCACAGTTTGAGCAACCTGCAAACCCCTGTAGGCAGCCACGGTGCTGCTGAGAAGTACCATGGGCATGGGCTGGCAGAGCTGTTTGCAAGGCCAGTCCCTATATGAGGGCAACCAGCAAGGCTACAACACATCCAGCATCTCAGTGGCAGGTGATAAGGCATGGTGTGTCAGGTGGCACCTGCAGGCTTCTGAGGGTGGCTAAGGTTGAGGATGCTTCTCTATGAGCATTAGGCATCCATCAGCACTGGGTTTTACCCAGCTGGAAGACCCACTCACAGTGCTGGTCTGGAAACCCAGCACAAATCCCTCAAACACACAGTCACTGTTAGAATGCAGGAGTCACCATTGCAGGAGTCCTCCGGCACTTACATGTCTTAACCACAGTGCGGAAAACTGTCCTACGCAACCATTTCTGCAGGGGCTGTTCCTGTTGACCATTTGCAAATGTCTCAACACTGAACATCTTGCTGCCCAACATCTGTCTCAGTGCAGCTGTTGTGCCACCTAAGCAGATGGAGGCAGAGAGTTCCCAGGTCACTCAAGGACACATAGCTCCCATCCCCTCCACCATTTCTGCATGGTCCTCTGCTCAGGACTGCACGTCATGCTCTGCTCTCTCCGCCTCTCTCCATGGCCCAGTTCCAGCTGCAGCCTTGACAAGCACAGACAGTCATCCTGAGAAGATGGAGGAGCTCCTTGACCATGTTCTCAGTTTTTCCTGGGGATCATTTAGAACCAGGGCACCCTTCCACATGTGTTCTGCCTACCCAACCCACAGCTGAGCTCATCCTACTTTGCAGCATAACCCCTTGGGTGGATGAGGAATCTGCAGTTGGTCCAGATTCCCCTCTATGGCTCATTGGGTTACTCACTCCTGCACCCTGCCCACACCCAGGCTGTGCTGCAGCACCAGTGCTGAGTCCCCTCTGCTCCAGTGTACCCTGACTGGGCACTGGGTCAGTGACCTGGGCTCCAACAAGCCATCTCAGCCATGAATGGAAACAGTAACTTCACCAGCTCCTACCACACAGCTGTGACAGCCACCACAAATGAGGTCTGGGTGTCACCAATGCAGATGATACAAGACAAAACAGGAGAGCCAACCCACCTTCTGCTTCACTGTTAACTGGAGCTTTTCGGGGGTTTCTCCTTTCTCAGCCTTCGTCTTGTGTCCCCAGAGCTCCCCTGCTCTCCACTGTGATGTCCAGAGTTTCCCTGCCCTTCCTGTGATGTCTCTGATGCTCTTCTGCACTTCCCTGCACTATCCTATTTGATCCTCTGCCTTTCCTTTGGTGTCACAAGCCCTCCCCTCTCTCTACAGTGTCCCTAGAACTTCCTACCCTTCCTTATGGTGTCCTTGACGGTCGCCTGCCTTATTGTGGTGTCCCCAGGGCTCACCCATCCCCAACACTGGATCTGTGTGGCTGGTGGCACCTCCTGGTCCCCACCTCTGTCAGGTCCTGCCGAGGATGAGGATGGGGCAGAGTTGGATGCAGTCTCAGCTGGGCTCATCCCACCAGCCCTGCATATCCCATGTCTGTTCAATGCCATGCCCCCAGTGTCAGCAGGACAGGAGGCTGAGGAGGGAAATATCACCCACCTACAAGCAGCCTTTTCCCACTGACAAACAGGCAAGCTGTTTGCTAAGAGGGGCAGCCCCATCCCAGCACCCTCTCATCCCACCCTTTCACAAACTGTAGACTCCATCACCGCCTCCATGGGCCAATGCTTCATGGATGAGGACAGAAAGGAAATACTGAACAGCACATGAATCATGCAAGATGAGCCTGACAGGCAGAGGGTGACTGGAAAGCCAGTGGGTGGGTGACAGGGAACTTCTCTGTCCCTACTCTGTGCTGGGGCTGTGCCCACAGGTGCTGCATGGAGCCCACAGGGGAGCACCAAGCCCTGAAGGTGAGTGCTGGGAGCCAACTGGGCAGCAAGAAAGGGAGAGTGGTGCCAGGACCCCATGGACTTTTGGAAAAAGTCCCTGAGATGGGAGCTAAAGGCAGGTCTATACTTTTTAAATTAAAATCAAAGCACAATTTGAATATAGGTATTGCCAGATCCTGCTCCTGGAGGAGGACGAGAGCAGCCTTCCTCCTGTCTTTAAGCCCAGGAAAGATGAGAAGAATGCTGAAGGCAGATCTCATCCCCTATACTGTACAGGGGCCACAGAAGTCTCTCCTGACCTGGATGCAGCCAGATGCCACCTCTCTCTTCCCCTGCAGCATGGGTAGTGACACATTCACCTGTCTGGAGTGATATCTTAGAGGATGTGTCTGCACTGTGTCCCTGTGCAAAGACCAGGCATTTTGAGCACCCCTGGCCACCTGTACATCCCCAGCGCAGTCTCGTACCATTAGGGGCCCTGTGGGAGGGCTCAGACAGGATCCTGCCCAGCCTCAGAGCACCGTGGATGTGGCATCACCTTCCACGGTGCCTGCGGAGCCACCATGCACAGGGCATCCCCTCCCACAGGGACAAGCAAATTTCAACAATCTACGTATCTTCCAGAAAAGCCCTTCTGCACTTAGGAGGGGGATTCATTCAACAGTTCCTGCTGCAGTCACAGTCACAGCTCCCAGACCTAGGGAAAGCCCAGAGCGGCCAGGAGGAAAAACAGCTTAGAAACAGCAGCAGACATTTATAATGCAGGAGGGGATGGTCACAGGGATGTGTCCCTGTGGGCAGACACACCACCCTTCAGTGCAGCGGAGCAGAACTGGTCAGACTGTGCTTGCTGCAGCCCGATGTTGGGTGGCAGCACTGGGTCAGTGGCAGCGGGGCAGTGTCAGGCCGTGCCCGCTTCCAGGACTCCAACGCTGAGCAAGGAACGGGTTGGCAGATCCTCTTGGGTAGTGAATATCTAAATCATCCCTCTGTCCTCACCTCTCTGAGCAGCCGTGCTCATCCCCAGGTCACGCAGACCTCCTCCCCCTCTCTCCTTACCTGGCCTGGGCACGCTGACATCAGGCCACTCGCCCCGCGGCTGCCAGCCCACTGCCGCCTGGGCTCTGGTTACAGCCCTATAAAGGGGACTGGGATGCAGGGCACCGGAGGAAGCTGTGCCAGGCACTTCACAGCCCCGCAGCCATGGAGAGGGGCACTTTCATCCTGGTCCTCACTCTGGCCGTGGCAGCACACGTTGCCCCTGCGGAGAGGAAGGTAGGGACAGGGGTGACAACGGGAGTGTGGCAGATGTGGCTCTGGGACACAGCCTGAGCAGCCAGGGGCTCTCTCTTGAGTGCCAATTTAGGCTTGGACAAGCAGGAGAGCTTTGCAAGCACCTCGTCCAGGCAGCGGGCAGGGTATCTCCAGGTCACCCCCTGCCACTTGGTATCGCCTCCAGGAAGCTTTACTCCCACAGGGCATTCCCTCCCCTTCCCGTGGGGTCTGTGTCTGGGGCACCATGTATGGAGCATCCTCTCTCATGGGATACATGTCTAGGGCACCATGCACAGGACAACCCCTCCCATAGGATATTTGTCCTGGGGCACCATGCATGGGGCACCCTGTCCCACAGGTTGTGTGTCCAGGACACTATGCATGGAGCATCCTCTCTCATGGGATATGTGTCTAGGACACCATGCACGGGACATCCCCTCCCATAGGATAGGTGCCTGGGGAACCATGTATGGGACCATCCCTTCCCACAGGGTCTGTGCCCAGGGGTACAGTGCACAGGGAATTGCTTTCCACAGGGTCTGTATCTGGGTGTACCGTGCCCTGGGCACCCCTCCCATGGGGTCTGTGCCCAGGGGTACAGCAGACAGGGCACTCCCTCTCACGGGGTCTGTGTGAGCACACCGTGCTTGCCAGCAGGCTGAGAAATACTGGCTTTGCTCCATCACTCACTCAGCATCCAGGAGCCCCCTGGGGGAGCATTGCCTCAAACCGAGGTCAGGGAGAGCCATGCACTGCATCTGCAACCGCAGCAGGGCTTGTGGCTCCAGCTTTGGGGCAGCAGAAGGGATGGGGTCCCCCTCTGTGCCGTGTATGGGGACTGAGAGGGTGTGGCTCTGTCACTTCAGTGCCGGCTCATCGGGCTGTGGAGGAACGAGCAGGACTCACTGATGGAGATTTCAGCACTGAGGGACAACGGGGACTTCCAGGGAAAATACCTCACACGGGTCACTCTCTCTGGTGGCTGTGCCCACATCTCTCCCCTGAAGGGCATCCAGCAGCAGCCTGGTGAGGGGGGCTGGCCCACCTTTGCCTTCACTGTGCGCTGGGACAAGTTCTCTAGTAAGTACTGGAACACCTGGAGATGGTACAGCAGTGTCACTGAGAGCCACGTAGACAGCTAGCAGGAATTCCCTTTTGCTAGGAATTCTGCTGGGTGATGTTTTGACGCAGCTAAGCAGTGCCTGCCCAGTGTGGGGCTAAGGGGCAATGCTGAGCTCGCACAGTGCAGCCTCTCCTCACCCATCATCTTCACCTCCATCCCAGCCGGACACCTCGGGGTGCCCACAGTGGGTTCAGACCCCATTAGGTGATGCAGATCTTACCTTGTCTGAGAGAGTCACAGGGGAAAGGCAGGAACCCCTCCCCCACTGCGTGGGTTTGGTGGATGTGTGGCCATTAGAGTGGGAACACAGCTGCCTCTGAGAGGACAGTGGGGAAGGGGAAGCAGCTGGTTTCCCTACAGATCTCCCAATAAACTCTTCCTCCCAGATGCCACCACTGCCTTTGCGGGGCAGTGCTTCGTGGATTCGGGTGGAAAGGAAACACTGACCACCATGTGGCTGCTGCGCGAAGCTGTCGGGTCCCTCAAGGAGGACTGGAAAGCCACGAGGTAGTGTGGGGACATGGGGGGCAGCAGTCCCACAGAGGGGCCCTCTCCAGGACCCTTGAGGATGAGCAGCCCTCTGAGCAAGGGGGGACCACCCCTGGGAGCCCCCCAGTGCAGGTTGGCAGCAGGGATGCCACTGTGTCCTGGCAAAGGGCTTGCCCCGCCCAGGGACACCTGGCAGCTGCTTGAGGAAAGCTGGGGGGCATTTAGGGACACCTAAATGGCACTGGCAGCTCTGAGTGGGCAGTGTCTGTGGGTCATCCCACGGGGAACTCTCAACTTCTCACAGGGTGGGCAGAAATGTTTTCATACGAAAACGCACCACAAAAGGAAAGATCCTGCCAAGCTTGTCCCCATCCTGTGAGGATGTGTCTTCACCAACCCCATGATGGGATGATCTGGCTGCAGCCTGGCCCCTCCAACAAGGCAAGCAAAACCTACCTCTCAGAGGAAAATAAAACTCAAAAATCATCCAGCGTGGTTGCCTTTTTTATAAATCTGCCCTTGCTACCCTTTCTGTTCCCATGGATACCCCTGCTGAGGTGAGGGCTCACCACTGCCCTTCCCCAGGGACATCCACATCTCTCCCTGATCCCACACATCCAGCCCCTTGGGTTCATTTCCCATCTTATTTAACCCAAACTTCCACCCTATGTCATCACTCCCTACCTGCTTGATGGTGGCAGAGCTGGCAGCAGCATCCTGAATCCAGCTGATTTCCATGCACTGCCTCATATCCACCCCCACCAGACCCTTTCCAGTACCTCTGTGCTCCGTAGGGTTGAGTGATGCAGAGTATCCGTAGAGGTGAGATATTGGTTCAGTGCTTCCTTTGTGCTATATGGCACCCCATGTAAAATGTGCACAAATTAAGGCCCCCATCCCATCCCATCCCATCCCATCCCATCCCATCCCATCCCATCCCATCCCATCCCATCCCATCCCTGTGGGTTACACCCAGGGATTTTACCCTTCTCTGCCACTGCATTTTGGCAGGGCTGCTCTATTTGCCTCTGCAGACACTTGTCAAACTTAGTCAGCTCTTTTCGACATGAAGGTTTTGGCAGATCCGTGGGTGAAGAGGAAACCTCTTGTAGAAGCGTTACAAAAATATTCCAGCCCTGGGGTTGACAGCAGTATTCTGTTGAGCCTGGTTCAGCCCCAGCAAGGCCAGAGCACGGTGCCATGATGTAGAGGGGTGCCTGCCACTTCCCTGGCACCCCTAACAGGGCAGCTTGTCCCTGCCAAAGAGTGCAGAAAGGCAGGGACTGGTGTCAGGCCAACAGAATAGAACGTGGCATCCAGGGCAAGAGCAAGGGAACGCCTGGGTGATTTCTCAGGCCCCTGTGATAAGCCCGTGAGTATGGGACAGAAAAAGGCAACAAGGAGGAGGGATGTGTTAGGAGAGAGGTGTTTTCCCTAGCCTTTGGGGCTATCTGGATGAGAGGGAGATGTGCTGAGCAGCAGCAGCAGGGTGCCAGGGTGCACCAGGGCTCATGGTGGGCACTGAGAGATGCCACTCCACTGGGGGGACTCCCCCCCACCCCCGTATGCACACTGCAGCCCTGCTGCCATCCAGTGCCTAAAATACTGCTGACCTGGAAAGAGCACAGAGTGATGCTGCTGAATCCCACCTGAATTTTCAGTTGCCTACAGCCCCATGGCTGCTCCAGGCATCACAGAGAGCAAAGACATGGCTCAGGAACACAGGGGCAGAGCAAGCTGCATTTTGTACATCCAAGGCCCTTTAGAACAGCAAATACAGGGAAAAGGTGTGAATACAATGCTGGTTATCATGCTGTGTGCATTAAGCAAACACACTAGATGTGATATACCTCAGTATCTCACTGTGGTTACTTCTTCCTCTAACTCCCAGTAAAGTAAAAGCAAAAGCATTGTAATCAGCAGCTGACATGCAGAATATGCTGGAGAAATGTTATTGCTGCTAGAGCAGAAGTCAAGGTGAGTCTTCCCTCCCGTGCAGCACTGCCAGCTGCTGCAGCTGGCCCCAGCCAGGCACCACCTGGGTGACGCCCTGTTCTGGCAGTGGCACCAGCAAAGCAGGAAGGGGGTGAATGTTTGAACAGGTGACAATTTACATCCTGCATGCACAGGAGGTGGATACCCATGGAAGGTATTGGCCTTTTCCAGGCTGCTATAAGTGCCTCATGAAACGCCTGTGCACCCACCCCTCTGCAAACCGTGCTCATCCCCGCATTCCTCCAGCACTGACCAGGTCATGCAGACCTCCTCACCTCCCTGCCTGTCCCGGGCAGCCTGACATCAGGCCACTCACCCCGCGGCTGCCAGCCTGGTGCTGGTGGGGCTCCGGTTACAACCCTATAAAGGGGGCCGGGCTGCAGCGCTGGGGGGAGCTGTGCCGGGCCCTCAGCAGCCGTGTGGCCATGGAGAGCAGTGCCTTTGCCCTGATCCTCACCCTGGCCCTGGCAGCACCTGTTGCCCCTGCAGAGAGGAAGGTATGGGGATGGGTGACGGTGGGGACAGAGCGCTGGCACCCTGCTAGACCCCCAAGATGCTGCTGGGGCTGCAGAGCTCAAGAGGGAGCCAGGGCCGGGCTGCTGGAGCTGGTGGGACCAGCACTATGCAGCACTGAGGGAAGCTGCGGTGAGGTTGGGAGAGAGGGACCACTCCTACAGGGGTGACCCTCACTGTGGGAATCCTCCAAAAACAGGCAAACAGAGCCATGCCCTAGAGAATTCCTGTTTTCCCACCAAGCATGCAAGGAAAGCAGTGCACCTGCTGATCTAGCATGAGGGGGACCTGCTCTCTTTGCATCAAACCACACCAAGCAGCACCTGGGCTGAAGGCAGCCAGTGCTAAGGTGTGGCACTCACACTGAGGGGGCGATGCCAGTGGCACACCGGGTCTGTGGCATGTCATCCAGTGCTACAGACATTCCTGGGAAGAGCTAGGGTGGTGGGCTGGGAGCAGGATGTCCCCTGCCTGCCCAGGTACCTCAAGCCTCATGCTGTCCTTGCAGTGCCTCCTCTCCGGGTCATGGCAGAGCGACACCGGCTGCCGGATGGTCGTGTCCACCCTCGGCGAGGACGGCAGATTCTCTGGTTCCTACCTGCCGGGATCTGCCACTGGTGACTCTGAAATCCTCACCTTGCCACTGGAGGGGTCCCAGCAAGATGCAGGGCTAGTCCCACAGCCCATCTTCTCCTTCACCATGCACTGGCGGCTCCAAGGTAGGTGGGAAGGGGGCTGTCACCCGGCAGCAGGGATGCCAGCAGGACACGGAGCGATGGCCTTGTGTCTCAGTGCCTGACTCATGCAGCTTCAAATCCTCCCAGACTCAGAGACAGCCCAGACAACCGTCTTTCTGGGCCAGTGCTACGTGGGCAGCAATGGGGAGGAGATCCTGCATGCCCTGTGGCTCCGGCGAGAGGCAACCAACAGTCCTGTTGAGGACTGGAAAGCCACCTGGTGAGTGCTGGGTCCCAGCCACTGCTGTGCCAAGCTCTCCTGCACCCCAGGCTGGAGAAGGGAGAAATACCCTGGGATGAAGCATGGCAGGACCAGGAGGGTTAAATGGGTTTGTCACTGGTGCTGAGCAGGGGCTAAGGAGCATCCCTGTAACATCCCCCTGCATGCCAGATGTGCCTCAGGGAGGGTGACCCCAGGATAGAGTCTGGCCACAGCAGGTCTCCCCACCCAGGAGGGTCTCCTTCGACTCTCAAGAGCAGGAGAAGAGGAAAAGGTGCCAGCACCTGGTGCAGCCTCGGCTACAGGCTGTTGGAGCCCGGAGTACCTCACTCAACCAGCACCCTGTGGTCAACACAACCCTCCCCTTGGGTTTCCCCTCCGTAGCCTTCTCAGCAGAGGTGACCCCATCTGGGTGAGCACAGTGATTTGCTGTTTTCTGCAGGGTTGGCACCAGCATTTTCACACGGATAAAATAACTGCAAGTGGGGAAATCCAGGAGGCTCAGTACTGCAGGGAGTCAGTTTTTCTCACAGGCAGACTCCGCTCACACTGACGTGCTGCACTTGAGCAGCTCTCAGCCCACAGGTTCACGCTTTCTCAGGCAAGTTCAAAATAAACATGTAAAGTAAAGGGTTTCTGTGGGTATGAAGGGCTTGGCTCTGTTTTCTGCCTTGCCTCAGACCTGTGGGCTTTGTCTCGCCCCGCAGCCACCCCTCCTCCCCTTCGTGTCTCACGGCTGAGGGCAGCAGGGTCCCCGGGGATGGAGGCTGTCCCATGTCCCCTCCCTGCCGGTGTGCAGCAGCACTGTGCCTGCAAACCTGCTGCTGTGCTGTGGGTAACACGCTCCTCGGGGTCACTCCCAGATGTCCCCAGCGATGGGGAACAAACCGGGCTGTGACCAGGCAGCGGGATAAGGCACAGCCTCGGCGTGCTGCTGTGGCCAGCACGTCCCAGGGCTGCAGGGCAGGCTCCAGGCAGAGCCTTCCCCATGTGAGCAGAGCAGAGGAAGTTTCTCGGGTGCCCGAACGCACGGGGCGGTTGCAAATGGCTTTTGCAGAGCCGGCAGCCTCCCGTTCCCAGCCCCGGCGGATGCGCAGCGGTGGCCGGCTGCCAACTGCCCTCCCATTCCGGGGCTGGGGAAAGCTTCCAAATGCCCTGCCCCAGGAGACCCCTTGGCACGGCTGTGCCCTCTGAGCAATGCACAGGTGGGGGTCTCCAGTCAAGACCCTGATGTCCAAGCATAACCAGGGAATGAGAGGGGAAGAAGGGTGCATCTGACGCTGGCTGGGTTCCTTTGGGGAAACAGCCCAACTTCTCTTCCTTCTGCCTTGGACATCTTGCCAAAATAGTCCCAGCATAACTCCCTGGTTATGTTGGGACCTGGGGGTTAAGGCTGAGGTGCCCAGCTGTGGGAGCTGGAGGGAGGTGGTGGCTCCATTGCTGTATTACCATTTGCTTTTTTAACCAGTTTACATATTTCTGCGAGTTTTTCTGTTTCCACCAATATCCAGCAGCTGGTGCTAGTGGATAAAAATAGGATTGATGCTGACACAGGGTTTAGATTTCCTGTGAAAAGAAGGGTATGTCTTATTTCTGCTATTGACTGAAATTCCCACCTCTATGAGAAACCCTGATTCATTTAAAATAGAGGAGAAACCTGACTCCTTTAAAGCCATGATCAGGAAGGGTTTTATATTCACTACACAGCTCAGGCCTTCCTTGGCAATAGGAGGCAAATTTCATTTCATATTTTCACAGTTTTCAATATATCACTACTGTGGAAATGAGGTGGCATGACTGACACTCGAGGAGTCACCAAGCGAAAAAGAACCATTTGGCAACACCCATACGGGACGTGCCAAGGGCTGAGAGGAATATTTTGCTCTGAAGGGCTCATGTTTCCAGTCTGTCAGTGCGCCTCTCACAATGCAGACACAGG